CCACAGGTTTCTCTATCTCATCACACAGTCCACACAACACTTGTTCTTGGCACAGAACACTCTGGCTCTCCATTTTCATGATATTGTTATACTTTTAGTCCTAAAATTTCCTCTATTAGCAAGCTTCTAATGAAAGGTCATCCTTTCAGCTCATTACATATCCATTATAGTCTCTCAGAGAAACTGAGAAAAGACTATTATTTGACAATCCAAGAACAGGCTTAATGGAGTTTTGAGGGAGCTTTTGGTTTTCATCAGATGAAAGACAGTTGCTACCAACTTCCGGATGGTTTTAGGGTATCTGATACAGTATCTCAGCTGCTGTTTTCTTACACTGCTTCCAAAGACCAATATGAATGCCACATAAACAGGGATTTGGTTCACTTTTTAGCTTGCTTGATAATCTAACACTACACAGGATTTCCATCCCTGACCTTCTGCGAGACTCATAACACAAAATCTCTGATGACAGTCCTTTGTGATTTGTAGGGCTATAGTGCAGGTAACAAAATGTATGTTTGTTCAATAACCATGTCTGGGTTTTTTGTTGTTTTTGTTTTTTCCTCAAAACATGCAGAAGCAGGTAATAAACACTAACAGAACAATAAAGATAATATAAATCAGATAATTAAGCAGAAGCTTTCAGGATGTCACTAAAGGCTCATAAAAAGCCAACTGATCACAATGAGATGTTATTTTGCTCACAGCATCTTCTTTGCTTTTTTGAGAGGCTGTGGTTAGCTAGGGAGTTTCCTTTTCCCCTTCCACAAGAGTGGTCTTAAAGAATTTGAACCATTAAGTCCAGAAGACTAAATATAGAAGCAGCATAAGAGGTGTGGGGGAAAAAGGAAACAGTAAGTTTGAAAACATGGGTTGGAGACAGTAGCAAGAGCAGCAAAGAATCAGGTTACTTGTTACCTGAGAATGAGAAAGGAAGTAAGGGGAAGAGTTTGGATGGAGAGATGAAACAGGCAAAAAGCTCAGATCATTTTTTTAAAAGATACTACAGACAACTAAATTTCAGTCATTACTATATAGCAACCAGGAACTCACTGGAATCATGCAGGCTTTTGTTTTATGTTTTTGATAGGGTTTGTTTTGCCACTGCAAAAAAAAAAAACCCTCAGGTTTGCTATTTTCCTCCCAGCCAGTTGATACTAAAGGTATTGAATTTTCTCAGCACCTCATCTACTGCCGTCTTGTGACATCTGTGTCAAAACCATAACAGGGAAATGCACAAATGCATCAAGCAGGCAGAAACAAGGGAGGATCTGTGCAGCCATAAGTGAGCAGAGCTGCCTGAAGAGCAAGGAATGGGGCAGGTAAGTCTGCTGTCCATCAGGTGCTTGCTCCACATGTTCTCTCCCTTAATCCAGGATGTGGCTGCTCACCTCTGTCCAATGATAGATGCTGCAAGGTTCCACAAGGTAAGAGCAGAGGAAGGTAGATACTACAGAATAAGCAAAGACGATATCAGTATGATACCCGCTCAACCCCAAGCAGCAATCTTGCACACATACAATCTGAAAGATTTGTCCAGGTTCAGCCTTAAGCTTCCTGAAGTCGTATTACAAGCACACTTACTTTTGAAGACAGAAGTACAAAAGATTAGGGTTTATATTTAAATTTACAGTACACACTGTTTAATACTGACATTTTCACAGGTTTTCTGGGATGAACTGTTCATATGGCATACTTGCACATCTGACAGTATCCTACATCTGGTCGTAAACTCATTTCAGAAAAGGCATGAACCCAGAGGAAGTATAAATATAGCTACAAGAATTGCATCAAGTGAACATATTCTTTGTAGCTGGAAGTATAGTTGAAAGTAGAAGAGGAAATAACAGAAGGGATCTAAAACCAGTTACAGTTTAAAAGTACAAGCATCCTGGACAATGTGAGGACTGTATCCTCTCAGCTTGAAGTGACAGATAAGGCTGAATGAAAAGCAGGGGTCATTTACCCAGACTTCAGGAATGGTGTTGCACAAAGAGCAGGCCCATGAGGTGAGAAAGGACAAAATTCTTGAGAGCACAAAGGAGCAGCCTGGGGCAAGCCTTGCAGCCTCCTCAGAAGGAATGCACACTTTCCACAGGTATTAAAATCTACTGAAACAGGTGAAAGAGGAAAGAAAGTAAATAAAGACTTAATTCATAGCAAGCTACATAGACTAAGAATATAGGAAAGTAAATGACTTGGCATAGGGGAAGTTCGAGGCAACAGGTCACGCAAAAAGGAATGAAAAGGTCACAGCAATTATGTATAGCCTTTTGGATAAAAGAATCCACTGCAGAGTCTCTGGATATACTTCCAGCAATGTTAAGATGTTGCCTCCAGCTGCTGGATGACAGCACATCCTGGATTTGTAAGTATTCATTGTTAGGATGTACAGCCTGCATTTGGGGAAACTTCACTTTAGAACATGCTCCAGTGCCATTACCCTACACCCTCTCCCTTCCCCTGAGGCGTCATCATCAACAGATAAAAGACAGTTTAAGGAAGGAAGGTGCATATTCATTTTTAAAGAACTATAAGCAGACAGTCAGATCAGTTTTTCCAGTGGATACTCAACCAGAGTGGCCTGGAAAGGATCTGATTCCAGCTGACAGAGGTATCTAAGATCCCAAGTTCGGTTTCTTAGGAGCAGACTATAATTACAATCTGATAAGACAGACAGACAATGGTGAGCCATTTCAGGCTGTCATCCCAGTATACTGTACTTCTGCATTACCAGTTTCAGCCTTGGGATATTTGTTGATTCTTATTTTGCTCTTATTACAGCTCTACTTACATTTTTTAATGCAAATGTGTGCTGGCCATTTATATCCAAACTGTCAATGAAGCACCTAAACTAACCAGCTACATTTGGGCTCACTTCCACTCAAGGTTGAGATGGTCTCACAGATAAGAAAACGCCCCTGGCACAGAAGGTGGGCTTCCCATGTGGCATGTGAAGCCTGGAGAAGTTCTGCTGCCTCATTCCTAGAAAACAAAGCAGCAGGACAGAGGGCAGTGCAGTACTGACACAAAGATCTTTGCTGTCCAAGAGGCACATCTGCTGCTGCTTCTTTTGGTGAAGCAGTTGGAGACCATCACTCCGAGAGCAGCACAGCATGGAGAAATACGCAGTACAAATGCGATGAAGGCTGTGTTAGTCTGGCACAAGATAAGATGCACTGAAGGAGGTCAACTCAAGCCCTTAGTAGAACACCAAGCGCTAAACTTAAACACCTTCTCCACTCCATTAGCTCCTTTTCTGTACACCTATATGCCACTTCTTAAAAGAGATTAAAAAAAAAAAAAGACCCAGATCACATACCTAACTTCTGTCTGTCCTAAATATCCAAATCACTGATATTTTTCAAGATGATAGAATCATAGAATGGTTAGGGTTGGAAAGGACCTTAAGATCATCTAGTTTCAACCCCCCTACCTACATATTAGAGGAAAAGAGAAAAGAAGCTGCATAAACTGACTGCTTTGCAGTGTTGTATTAAAAGAAAGAATCTCTAGAAATGACCAAATGATACAGAGGTAAAGCCACCTACAAAACAAATTAGCATCACCAATTGAGTGTTGATACTGGTAGCACTAGAGGCAAACTGGGAAGGGCTTTAAGGCAACTCTGTACTCACAGATTGGAAGCATGAAGAAAGAGTTATAAGCAGAAAGAAAGAATTAGAAGAGAGATAATAAAGTTCCTTCTCTCTCCTCTTATTCTACAAATTTCTTTTACTGTGGTGCAAATCCAGAGCATTGATTCTAATACTATTTTACTGGATTTCCATTGTTTTGCCTGGGCTCCTACATTAATCCAAACAATAAGGGCCTTTAAAGCATTCATAAATAACCTGCTGCTGCTGCTGGCACCTAGGAGCCAAGTGCAGCAATGTTAAGCAACAACGAATTTCATAGTTCAAGAGGCACAGTTAAGGAAAAAGGTTGCTCAGAAAATCACTCTCATTTAGCACAAAGATCCTTAAAAATTGCATGAAATCATTCAAGTAACTATAGAAACCAATTTCTTCAGCTCTGTATCACACGTCTCACACCTCAATTGTCTTTATTATCGTCTGCTGTCAGATCCTTAATCAGAAATGTGAACAGGCTTGATGATTTATTCAGCAGGGAAAAGAATCTGTAGGTCAAGTGAAAAATTTCACACACACATACACATGCACACGCATCTTCAACCTTAGGTACTTTCATTTCATTCTGTTCCCAGTAGCTCTGGGGGCAACTCCAGTGAGATCCAATATTAAGGCTCAATTAAAATAAGCTCCAATTAGTGGAGCTTTTTTCTCCCAGGCTAGAAAAGTCAGGAAATGGATATTGGGAAATGTAAAAAGTCAGCTACTGAGAGGAGGCTGCAGACATAAATGAACTTATTTGTTGATTTCTACAGTTGCTATGCAGAGGCCTCTGGGAGTAAAAGCTTAACCAGTCTAAGCTATAAACTAAAACCCCTGCAGCTAAACATGAACTGTGTGAAACAAGGGCTCCATTCCAGAACAGAAAACTGCTGGGCCCAGAAAATTAAAAGCCAGAGGCGTTTTCCATTTAAAACTAAATCCCAGTACCGCCTCCCAGCCAAAGAATTATAAGCAGTATCAGATTTACAAAACGAACAATTACCCTGGAAAAACGTAGCCTATTGTACAGTCCCAGATGCTAAATCTCAAAGTTTCTTTCTTTTTCTTTTTTTTTTTTTTCTTCTCTAATCCCACATTATATTCCTACCAAGTGAACTACTGCAGTTTACAAAGGACTGTTTCTAGACAGGACTGAAACTACAAAAATAAAATGTTAAGAAAGAGAGCTCATAATTCATTGACCTCATTTGAAGCACTGCCCTTGCCTGTGGCAGTTCCTGTCCTTCCCCAAGGCCTCTGCAAATGGTATGCAGCAGCAAAATAAACCCTGACCTAATTGCCAGGACAGGGCTGCCAACCTTCTCTCAACACACAAAGGCAAGCATGGTAACTGGAAAGTCCTACCTCTTTTGCTTTCTGCTTTAACCGCAGTTGCTCTGGATCTTCTTTATTGGAACGGCTCTACCAAAGGAAGAGGGAAAAAAATTGAACAGAAATTACTGGCATCCAAACACCATCGTATCCGTTAAATATTTAATAAATGACAATTTTCTCTGGTGATTGAAAGATTTAGCTCCAGGGGCGAATGCCTCAATCCAGACTGGCTTCCCTCCCCCTCCACACACATACACGCACCCCCCCTCCTCATCTGGGCCAGCTGCCTCTGCTCTAGCCTGAAGCAAGATTAAGCTGAAAATGATGCTAACACTGTCAGTCAGGTCCAGTCTAGGCATGATGTTGTTCATGTCAGCAGCAGACACTTAAAAAGGACAGGAAGTATAGGAAAGAAAGGGAGTTGTACTCATGCAAGTACAACATGATTCTTTCAACTCAAGATTAGGCTTCCACCCAAGGGGCTTCAGAGCTCAGCTTGAAACAAAACAGAAACACACAAAAAAAGGATCAAGTCACACCTGATGGAGCAACATCTATGGTTTTTTTTTCCTCCTGTTCTTGAGAGGAGGGAAGGAGGAAGAATGGTACTTCGGCTGTACTAGCAGTGGATACATTGGGGTTCACAGATGCTAGGGTACCAGCTCCAAGGCTAGCCTTCTGATCTTGACTACAGAAAATAAATACCCGTGGCAGGATGGTGAGATCTCACCAGGCTCTAGCTTGGTGAGATAGTGAACCCATATTTTCAGTGCTCAGTATGTGATGGAGAATGACATACTGAGCCAGAAACAGAGACAGGAAGAATGTTTATGGCTATATGAATACTGCTTTTATTTCATTTTGACCAGCAGGAGTAACCTCAAAAGAAGAGTTCACACCACCACACATGTGAAAGAACTGCTTTGATTTTTTTTTTTAGGAATGTAAAAAGCTAAAATCCTTTTTTGTATAGCTTAAGCTGTCCTAAATATTACAGATTTCCTGTTACAGGGTTAATGGTGACTGCATTTAAAGCAGAAATAGGAGAAACATGAATTTGTTTGCCAGTCTAAAGAACAACACTATTGCCTTGGAAAGCAAGAAGTAAAGTTCTTACCTTGGCTGCTCGAAGCAACATTTCACGTTCCTCTTCATCCCTTCTTCGTTTTTCTAGGTGATCAAGCTCTTCAAGAAATCTCAGCTGTGCTCTGGTGTCACTAGATACGATGTAGCTATCACTCCCCTGGAAATAGAAGTTTGTTATAGACAACCAGGCTTTCATATACAGCACTAGGGCTAATAAACCCAGGGGGAACAATCTAACAAGAACAACACTATTTTTAAGCGCCAGCAAATGTAGGCTGTTTCAAAAAGACTTCAGGTGGTAGGCAGTCATTTACAAATCTCTCCACTGAAGTATGTTTCTTGGCATCTGTGATGACTAAGAGGTTACTGAACAAGTGACTACTAAGAGGTTACTGAACAAGTGACTACTAAGAGGTTACTGAACAAGTGACTACTAAGAGGTTACCGAACAAGTCTATACTGATAAGAATAAAGTCTTTTAGATTTAAAGACTAAAATTTTGTTTTAAACAGCAACTTCATACCCAGTAAACATACATACAAGACTGCCATTTGGACAGGTTAAGAGAGGAAAAAAAAACCAACTGTAAAGAAACAGAGTATCATATCCTTTCCCCTTTAATAAGAGAAAAAGTGAAATTTGCCATTTGAGTGTTTGGCGTTGCTGTTACAGACATAATCCAGAGTTTTAAATAAGCATCACCTACTATTTCCAAAAAGAGGTTTTATGGTTTAGAACTAGTTATAATGAATCTTGTGGGTGTAGAAAGTGAGGTAAATTATATAGGGTTTATTACAGCTTTAGTAATATGTAACCTTGCCTCAGTTGATGTTCTCAGGTTATAGAATAGCTTATGTTGAAAGGTGACCTCTGGAAGTCATCTGGTCCAGCTCCTGTACAAAGCTGGGCTAGTGAATAATAATGACTCGTTCCAACAGTAACTGGACATGTATGCATCGAAACACAACTAAGGTCCTTTTGGTCTAAACCCCAGCGATTAGTAGTTTGGTTTTCACACTATTTTTACCCTCACTGGAAAGCTGGAGTTTAGCTTTACTTTAGCTGTGAAAGACAACATAGAAAGGAAAGATCTAAAACATGGTCAACTGGCAATGAAAAGCTTCTTTTACTATTCAGCCTGTCTCTGGAAGAGCAATTTAAGCCATGTGTTGGCCAGAGTGCATTAGGCAAAACAAGGCAGGGAGCCCATTCTAGATGAGGCATGTCTGTGCCACTTGTTTGTACCACTCTTTAATGCATGTCTTAGAGTCATCTTCTTTCCCTGTTACTTTGTGAACTTGTCTGCTCCCAAGAAATTCATCCCTGAGCTTTTATCAGTCAAACACACTATGTACTTTCAGCAACTCTTCTTTCCACCTTACCCCAATTTCACATTTTTAATGAAGCAACCTTGACACACAACTGTTCTGGAGTAAGCATACAACGTTTTAAAGCTATTTTTCAGGCAAGGGTATATTTTAAGCTTATGGACTCTCAGTGACTTCAGATGCTAAATTTTTAGTTCTCAAACACACTATACTCAGGCTTTTCTTCCCATACTCAGTCATACACTTTTAAAAGCTGTAAGGAAAGTAGAAGTCTTCTTATGGGGCACCTTTGTCTCCTGACCTGAATTCTCACAACCCAGCCAAAGAATGAAATCTATCCCTCCTCTGGTATTAAGTTTGGTCCTTTCCAATGAGCCGCCACATTGTCACGTATCACCAATTGTGGCTCAGACCACACCATGTGTTGCAACCAAGGAGGCTTTCCAAAGAAGAGTCTGTGGCTCTGCAAAAAGTCCAAACAACCTTTCCCCCCCCTTCTGTTCCCACTCAAGATATTTTTTCTCAACTGCTCCCCAAAAAACATACACTACTTTGAGTCAGTCTCAGTACATTAGTACAATTTGTTTTGAAACAGCAGTTTATAATAATCCACCACCATGCCACAATCCTTTTAAAGGGACAAAGAAGAAAGCCGTATTACCAGAAGATTATTTTTTCCAAAGTTTAGAAGAATTTTGCTTTGGAAAGCTCAAAGTCAGAGTCAGATTACATATTTAAAGTCAAATCCAAGACCTTATGCTAGCTAGAAATGCAAGCTTCTCAACCAGAAGCACTCTATCATGTTCTTATATGGGATAAGAAATGGGTGCATCCATAATAGTATTTCAGCTCACCAACAACTGGTTTAAAAAACTTTATTTCAGGAATTTTTAGAAGAGAAACACCTATAGCTATATTTTGTCCAAAATAAACTTGTTATCTATAATCATTTAGCACCGAATTGCTTAGACAGAAAACATTAGATTATAGCTATTACTGTTAGGACGGAGCAAGTTGGATTCAGTTGTTCATGCAACAGTTTCATTTCCTTACATAAGGCCAAAGTGTCCCCAGCTACAATAGTGCAATCCCAACCAAACTAAACTAAAAAGTGTAATCATAGACAGAATTTAAGCTACTGATAAAGCACATAACCACAATAGAGCATGGTTAGATTAGTACATGTGAAAGCTGACAGTTAAAAAGTTGGTTTTACTTTATCTGAGCTACACTTAATGTGCAGTTCACTTAAGTGAAAAAGTTATTCTGCTATCCTAAAATAAATTATTGCTTTCAAACAATAGCACATCTATATAATCTTGTTACAAAATTATTTTTTCCATGCCTTTTTTTTCATCAAAAGAAATAAAGAAATGCATACAGTCAAGACTCCACCACAGATGTGCTCTAAAGCACAGCCAATTCCTACCAAACTTTTTAGTTAGGTTTACATGTATTTGAGACATGAAGCTTTGAAGCAAAGCATTCCCAGGTACATCGTTAGCAAGAACAGAACTAGCAACAAATTCAAGAGCAGCCATACGCCTTGTCTGTGATTTGTAACTTCCTTCTTAGATTGTCACATACCTGTAAATGAACCCGAAACCTGGCTAAGCTACTTGCGTTTTAGCACCAGGAATGTATTGTATGTCCAGGGGCAGAAAGGAAAAAAACCACACACAGCGAAGCTGTGCTTCACTTCAGTCCACCAGGAAAGAAGTGGAAAGAATCCCACAAAGACCAGCTCTCCCACAGAATCTGAACGGTTTAAGTCACATTGAACAGCCTTGCTGAGGACAGAGCAGGGACAAGCAGTTGCAGGGGTTCAGTTACTATATGGGAACTAATTAAGCTCTGGCTTTATATAGTCAACTCCTAAACCAGGTTAGTAACAGAAAAGCTTCTGGTAAGTTATTTCTGCACTCCGCAATTTGCTGGCAGCATGAGGTAGGTAGGAGAAGGCTGGCTGCTACCACATCTAGGAGTGCTATGTTTAAAGCTTACCCCTAAAACCAGTTCGGTGCCACACCACATAGCCCTACAGATAGTGCAGTTTAGGGTTGCAGTATTTTACTGCTACTGCGTGTGGGGAAAATGTTTGCATGGAGCAATGTTTATAACACAGCATGGTACCGTGCCTCTCATGTGCTCATGGGCTCCAAACACAGGAACACAGCAGTCATGCTGTGCTGAACCCATCCACATAAAAAGCATTTTTTTAATCACTGTACTCTGTCGTTATTAATTCTGGTTTGGGGTATCATATTATGTCACATACATACTCTTATACCTCAGCAGTTCTCCAGACTGTAGGAGGGAAGAAGCCAAGGAATCAAACCAGCAAGCTAATTACTTTTGTGGTCTTAGCAAAGCTCTATAAAGGCACTGCAACAAGAATCGCAACAGAGAGCAGTTTACAACAATCTGACAGGCTCCTCCTTCAGATAAAGAGACTGCCATGATAGTTTTATCCCAATTAAGTTAGTGACTTCCAAAGACAGACTCCTCCATCTCCCCACTCCGAAATTTAGCAAAAAAGGGGCAAAAGTTAGCAAGTATGGCTGCATGATACGAAGCTTTTACTCTGCCAACTCACTCTCCCTGCAGGGGTACCAATCAGGTGTAAGTTGCTAGGAATGAGCATGATCCCATGAATTACTGCCTTTTTACATCAACTTCTACCCCAGCAATACTTACCCTACTTTCACCACACCTATCCCCATTACTGTACATCTTTTTGTCACGGACATAAGCAAATACAAAGCCTTACAGGCCAACTTGAAAAGGCTCTGGAAAATTCTCTGAAAAACATGATGCCCACATTGCACACTGACACCTAGCAATAGCCTAGAGGGAAAAGAGGATGGGGAAGCACTGGGGGAAGTGGAATACAGGGCTGTGTAAATAAATAAATACATAACAGGGCTCCAAAACCCTGTAGTGTTCAGTTCTTGAACATTTAAAAGCCTGTCAGCATCTTTCACAATATTATGACTCACAAACATAATCCTAAGGACACTCCTGTAGTGTAATACCAAATTCCTGACAGAAGAGGGTCCCTGTGCATCTAGAATTATTATGCCCATTACTTGCTTTGTTCATGAGAAAAAAGGACAAGAAAGCAAGCTTATTGTAAGACTGCAATCTTACCATTCAATCAGACAAAAAACTATCAGTTTTCCTACTGCTTTAGTTCAATGAGAAAGAAATCAGCTCTATCAAGCCCACTGTCCCAGAACATTCCCTTGTGTCTTTGGTGTCTGCAGGACACGAAGTCCACTAGTTACCCAGGACTTCAACTTGCACCTCACTTTTACTCAGGATCGTTACTGGATCTCCCACTTCAGAAGGACAACATAGAACATGTACAGATTTCTAAAGACTTCTCATTAAAAACTCTATTCTTTTTCTGCATTGATTTTCTTTTTCTACCATTTCTTCTTCTGGCAAGGAACAACATACTCCAACTATCACTATAAACACTTGAAAGTTTCCAGATAGTTTCTGCTTTTTACTACTGCTTCTTCAGTGCTTAAAAGCCTATAAAAAGTGTTCAAAAATAACTCCTATCCCACCAGTTAGTAGCTCTTGTTAAATTTCATTAAGTTCCTGTGACAAAAACCCAATAAACTAAACCTGCTTGATATTGAAAATGTGTGGACTAGTATCTTATTACTGAATGACAAAAAAAAAAAAAAAAAAAAAAGAACTATTTTGGCCAGTAAGTTATTGCTTCCCATTTGTACCATACAAGCATCTTAAGGGATACTGGCTCATGGGAACCTAATTTACCTCATACTGAATGGAGCTAATACAAGAAGGAGGGGGGGGAATTTTAAGTAGCACTGGTAGAAAAAAAGAGTTCTGGAAACTTTAAGATCAAAGGGGTCTCTGCTTTCACATGGAGCACGTTCTAAAAATAAAATACTCCATTCAGTTTCCCAAGGCTTTTTTACTGAGCCAATATTGCAGTTTCATCAACAGTAAACACATAAAGCAAACACAAGCCCCTAAATCAACCCCACCACCAAGAGCATTCAAATATAGCTTTACATTTAACTATGCAAGACAGATTTTTGTGTAACAGCCACCACTTCTGTGGAAGAGAAGAAACACATACATTTCCTCTTATGCTAGGTTTTAAAAGCGTCTACCCAACAAGCTGAATGGAAAACCTAAGGACCAGTCAGAGGCTAAAAACAGTTAAAACCAGCCTTTGGTAGATACTGCAAACAGACATACTGCATATGATGTGGCTATACTTGGAAGAGGTTTACCTTCGAGGCTGCAAAGCAGGAAAACTTTGGTGCAAAACTTGCTTAATGATTTCCTTTACCTTGTGGGTTGACACTCTGTGCTGAGCAATTACAGTTAGCTTTTCTAGGAGCCCTCGTAATCTCTCCTGTGTAGCATGGGAGATCAAGTTCACAACATCAGAGTTAAGTTCCATAATGTCATGCCTTTTACCTGTGGAAGCAGAGAAAATCCATTACGTGTTTTAGTAGTAGCTGATAATTGAAATAATTAGCACAGCAGGTATTCTGTTCCCCCTGGAAGTCCTACCCATTATGAATAAAGGTTTGGAGATTATGATTTTCCTGGTAAAGTCACAACTTCAAAGATCTTAGACATTACATTAATAAAACTTAGCCTGGAGCTTCAGAAAATATAGACATTGTTTCACTTAGCCTCCAGAACCACTCTCCTTGCAAGGTCATTTATAGGACAAAGTTAATAAGAACACAAATCAAGCTTCATGTTCGGGGAGGGGGAGAAGTGGTAGCTGTAGAAATTAGTGCCATATTCTGTTAATTCCAGTAATTAAAAAAAATAGAGAATTACATTGTGCCCTGCTTGACACTGTGCTTGTTAACAACTCATGACATTTATTTGATGAGCAGAGATGATTTTTGCAGCCCACTCCGGGCACGCAGGACCCTCTCACCTGCCTCAGCCGACCCAACCATCCCATGGCAGTGGCTCAGACAACACAGATCAAGTCCAGCCAGGGTCATCATGCCATCACCTTCAACCTTTTCTCTCGGGCTGCTGCTGCCTCTCTGCATTTCAGCAGCTGTGACCGAGACTGGTGACAGCTCCGGGCAAAGCTGTGCCAGCCCCACACCCAGAGCTGGGCATCACCTCTGCAACCTTCCTGTGGCTGCAGGCTGCCAACAGAGAAGCCTGCCCATGGTTGACACCATCGATCACTCAGCGCGACTCTATCAAGACACCTCGATGGCAATGATTTTTCCCTGGTAGGCACAGCAGGCAGCAGTTTCACATGCCTCATATGCTGTACCTGTCAGAAGCACTTTCCCTTGCTCCTCACTGCATTTACAGCAGCTGTAATATTTTATGATGCAATATACAGCACGCCTTCAAAACCCATTTCAGTATTTATTGCCAAGCAGAGTGTTAAGAATGGATAAACACTACACAGTAAAAAAAAAAACAACTAATCACCTATTTCATTTGCTTTTGCTACTCTAACTGAAAACAAAAAACAGCCTCGTGAGACAGGGAGAATCTACAATGCTTTCCCAGATATAATCTAAGTATTCCCACTACTTGATCTTGGCCAGTGAGCACTGGCCTGTACCCTAGCCGAGTGCAAAGCTCATTTTGTTCAAGCACCTTTCAACACTTCCGCAGCAGTTTCTCACTATACTATCAGAATACATTTTAGTATGCCAACTTGAAGACAAAATAAAACATCCCAGATCTCAAGACCTCCCTTCACACATGCGATTCCTAAACCAAAAAGGGTTTGGTTCAAAAGCAGAAGTGTTCATTTTCTGAATTGCTGTATTCCCTGACTGTAATATTTTCCTTGCAATCAAAATGCTTTTTATTTACCACATGAATTATTATTAGTAGTAATGTGAAACAGCTACCACACCATCCATGAAACAGCCAGACTTGTATTCATCCATCTTTCAATGAATTGTCTTCACAATCCAAATGAGAAAATTATTCTAGAAGTACTCTATGGTTTTGCACAGCTCTTCATTTTTCCTTATACCCACTTCCCCTGAATGACTGGTTAATGCTCTACTGAATTTTGGGAAAGTCTTCTAGGCACCAGCTTTGATGTGTATTTTTTCTTTTCTACTACTAACACAGCACTTACTTCCCTCAACTATGCTGTAGACAGCTCAGATGACACATCTGCACTAGTGCAGGATGTATGGAGGTAGCAGGTAGCATTTGGAGGCTACAAGCTCATCGCATGCTAGCTGCTCAGTTTGGACCAAGAACCAGTTGCACGTAGAAACAGAAAGACTTTATGATCATGTAGTTAAACCACTGTGACAGAATTACGACTGCATGTACAAACAACAGGCTTTCTTGAATGCTCAGCTGTAAAACTCACTGTTCCAGTATGGCAAGCTACTAGGCAGAGAGCATGAGCATGGAGTTGAGCAATATTCATCCAGTTTGCTGTAGATGGCAGTGGTACCAATCAGCGTGGTGCTATATAAATACATGCACCCTGCTCTGACATAATACAACATTGCTAAGCAACAGTTGTTATTTTGATCAGAAACTAACAGCTGAAATAATATATACACTAAAAGCTTCCTATCAGAGTTTAGTCACAGGCATTTAACATACATTCCGGTATTATTCAGTGATACAGACAAACAGCTTTAATGTCTCTTTCACATAAAATTAGGTTTTTTTTTCCATAGAAAGAGTTATAAACTAAGATCTGCCCTGTGTGTATAGGCAGTTTGAAACTTTTAATGCTGGTCAATAGAATACATATACCTGAGCAGGCTGAGGAATGCAAAAACTGTTAGGAAAGTCAGTGTAAAGCATCAAGTTGGGAGCTGCAGAAATAGAAAAGCACACTTAAAGTATTTTGACACCAGCATCTATACGGTTATTAAGTGCTCCATTAAGTTTAAGGTCATAAAGTTGCTCACTTCTCACATGTTAAAGTGGCACCACTTTGTTTCTTCTGGTTGTGCTTCAGACTATTTACATGTAAAAGAAAACCTTACAGAAGAGCTGTTTTCTAGAAGCAGAAGTAAAAACTCAATATATTTTGGTAGAAACACATGACTTGAGATGATAGATCAAAGTAGTTCCAGCTCCTCCTTCAAAGACTGGAGGCTAGCTAATGAAGCAGGCAAGGAAATGATACATCCATACATATCTGCTGCACACACTTTATTCTCACCTATGCTCAAGATCTTCTTCTGAAGCGCTTCCGAGGAGAGAAAAGGTTCATCTGCACAAGAGCGGATCACAGTACCAATGAGCTCAGAGTTTGTTGCCAAAATGCACGCATTCTCCTCGTTAAGACTGACCCCAGCCATAGAAGTCACATCATTTATGTCATCTTCAACTCTACTAAAGAGAAAAACAACACTTAATGCTCTGCTCAGAATAGATAGAAAGAAAAAGCCTCTTGACTATCAACAGCCACATAGCGTATCTTGGAGGCTACCCCTATACAATAGATGTTTAGTGTGGGTGTGGACAAGGAGAGGTCAAGTTAACAGCTTTCACACTTCAGTGAAGTGCCTCTCAAACATTAGATTGACTAATGCCTCAGTTGCTAGGCATGCAAATCCTTTATATGAAACTGAAATTCTGAGTGAGCTCAAAAGCCAGGAACTGAGGTAAACCTGGATTAAAAGTTTCCAAAAACCCCCTGCCCTGCACTACCACTCTTACAGCTTGAAATTTGTTTCAAAACTCCAATTCATCAGGTAGAACTAAGTGCTGAAGGAAACTGGATACTGACTGATAAAGAAGCCCACTTTCTAACTGAGATGCCTACCCTATGAACTGAAGCTTACAGCACAGGCATGTTAGCACAGACCTGATCTTTGCTTTTCTTTTAGTGAGTTTTCTTAAAAAATAACATACAAACACTCCTTTGTCTATATACTAGAACCAACCCAGACCTTGCCCTTTGAATCAGTCCTATCACACAGTACTTATGTATATAGCAGGGGGGATGTCATGCTTTTGAAGAACAGCAGCAGAGCTCTAGCTCCAGCTCAATTTGTTGGATTATGCTGTAGCAGTTTTGGACTACGTGTTTAAAATAAAACCTCAAATCTGGCATACTGAGCACTAACACATACTCATAGCAAAGCTGATGTTAAGCAAATAGCCTGTGTGCCTCAGCTTTTTTTTTTTTTTTTTAAAAAAGATCATTTAAGTTAAAATACTGAATGAATGTTATATAGGAAAAGATATGTCAGGAGTTTGGCAGTGAAACAATCCAAGTTTAAACTTACTTTTCAAGTAAGTTTAAATCATCAAGAGAAAACCTTCTCTTGCTTCATTTAGTAGCAAAGGCCCTGACAGTAGCTTCAAGAACCAATCCAGAATAGACGTCTGCAATATTAATAAACACAAGTGAAAGCACTCAATCTGAAAGTCTTTTAATTTGTAAAACAAAGAAAAGAAAACTAAAACATGCACCTCTCGAAGAGTATATTCTGGCAAGGTTTGATAAAGTTCACCTGTGTGGCCTACCTCACTCTTGAACAAGGGGTTAGCCAGAAATATGCCTTTCTTAAGAGAAATGGGATCTCTTAGGGCTGGTAATGGGTAGAAGCTGATGTTATTAAAATGTAGGTTGGGTTTGAGCCATACTCAAAACACACAAGAAAGCATTGGGATTTTTTTCCTTAGGGATCTTCTCATTTGGGCTTCAGTAAGTTTCTGTGGTGCAAGTTGTCCACCACAGATTTCTGGAGATAAGCCTGGCCAGGAAAGGAGTCCAGCCTTTCCCTACTCCTCCTTCTATTTATTTGTGTGCACTCATGGCTGGGAGTTATACAAAAGTGATTCATTCAGGAATAGATACCCAAAAGATTCTCAAACCAGCTTCATTCATTAAGTCTAACTAGACACGATAGCTTCCTGCTTAGGCTTGTACCCCAAATCCATCGTGCTAAAAGCATTAAACCCCATGACTGTCAGAGCAGTTAGATGACCATGATCGGGATTCAAAGCTGAAGTTAACGCTGTCAGAACTGTTTCTCTCCCCCTACCCTTTCACACCCAGCAACTGAGCATATAGTCATGCCCTATCAGCCTAACAGAGACCCTGATCTTTCAACAAGTGTGCAAATGAAACTTCACTGCATGATAATTGAGTGCTAACTGATTTTCACAAGTACACTCCTGTTTCCTCTTTTTAATGACCACTATTTTGCTGATGGCAGAGACAAGAAGTGGAGACTGCCACCAATCTGCTGATAAAGGGGATTACGAAAATCAGCACGACTAGCACCAAGAACCACATCAGAAGATGTTGGAGCTAGATGCTGGAACCTGACATTACCCCAGTGGAGCTGTTTACAAATCCAGGTACTGATGCTTGCACCTCAGGTACAACTGTATAGTACACAGTTTCAGGAAATCATTTTAGCTTTCAATCTGGCTGCATACTCCAAATACTCAACATGAAGGAGGTAAACTTCTATACTACATATCAATCCACCTTTCTACATACCCGAATTTCCCTTTATCAGTTTATTATTTTCTTTAACACTTCCATGCATATTTCCATTTCTCACTGTCTCTCTTGTCAGCACACACGTACAAGAGCTTACATGCAAGCAGACATCTTTACCTGTACTATTTTTAAGGACCAGTTCTAATTTCTTCAAAACTCTGCATTAAATCACCACATCACTAGCCCTGATGGAAGATTAATTTGCACTTATGAAAACACTGCGGCACTTACTTTACCTAACCCAAGGAAACGATAATTACATTTCCTTAGAAGTAGTACTCACTAAAGAAAATAAAGTTTCAGAAGCCATGTGAAGTTCGTACTTTTTACTATTGTTTTTTCCCTTGCTGTTCCAACAAACCTCACTCATTTTAGGTAAGGTATCATGTACTTCAAGTAATCATTCTACTAAAGTGACAAATTTAAAACATTCCAGAGCATACACACACACATTCCTGTTGGATACTGACTTGCTTTCATTTTCAGCAATCCCTCTCATAAAGCCCCTCTTCCACACCACCTGCTTTAATGCTTTTTATATTTCACATATCACACCCAGAAACCAACAAGAAAAAAAACTCCCCCTCAGCTGTTTTAAGTCTCCAGTGATTTAAGTTTATTAGGACAATGGGGAAACAGAACAGAAAGTGCTGTCCTGTATGAAGTCAGTTTTGACACTTAACACTGAACGTTCTCTTGGAAAAGAGGAGGAAGCAATGCAGATGCACCACGCATCTACAAATGCGCCTGTACTGGCTCGAAAAGTGAGGCTGTGGCACCCTCTGGTGTTCGACCAACGCAGGTGTATTCTTCTGAATGCATCTTCATTTTACACAACAGCCAAAAGGAAAAACGAGAATGGCATGTGTCACCCAAACCTCCCTGCACCACCACAGACAACTCCAGTGGGGCAAGAACCACCAGCGCTCACCACCAGCATGGGGGAGGAGGAGCAGCTGGCCAGACATTCTCCACTCTGCTGCCTCACTCCTGTTTGTCTTCTGATGGAGATGGCTAGTCCCTTCTGGGTAAAACGCACAGAAGCCAGAGTTGTATGTGCTTTGGAGAACAACTCTATTAGACAGAATAGATGCACAAAGGTGCAAACATGTGTCACATTTTTTTTTCCAGAGTCCTCTAGCATATACTTTACAGAAGTATACAAAGGAGTTTATAAAATCTTGATGCTTTTAAAACAGACTGCCCTTTACAATACATGCCATGGGGCAATCAAGTGACAGTGATGCACATGCTTAGCTGAAATAATTTCTAGAAGTTTTTTCCTTTTTTTTTTTTAATTGGGATATAAGGAATCACCATTTTTATTACTGCTCATTTCAAGCAACTTAAACCAGCCCATTAAGGAATAGTCATGGTCAAATTGCAGCCTATTAAGTACAGCTTAGTGAGTACACTTGAGCAAGAATCCTAACCTAACCAAGTCACATAGTAGCAGAGGGAGCCAGGGTCAGTGACATACTGCAATGAGAGTATACAGTTTGAAGTGCTACATGTACAATCACATAAATTACAAGACACACTCTCTGCCCATAATGAGTCTCATCACAAAATCTGAAAGGGGGCCATGGTGCTTCTCCACCTCACACATGATCAGCAGGTCACGCATGATGGATCACAGGTCACAAAGAACAGCCGTGCTGGGAATACTGCAAGTCAAGACAGAAGGGAACAACCCACTTCACAGCTTACTGGGGAACATCTATTGCCCAGGCCAGATTAACCCTATGTGGTGTTAGGCCTGACTGGAGAACATACATACTTGATGGAGGGAAGCCAAAAGCTCAGGTATACACTGCTCAGGTTCAGATATAAGAGCATGCTCGTATGTAGGTTTTGCAGTTGGAAATTTTGGTTATAGCAGTGAATAGAAGAACCAGAGATATAACAATGCTTCTTAGAAAAATTTAAGGTGAGTTAGAGATTTTAAATATGAATTCTCATAAAATTAAGCTACTTCAAAAATCATAATCCAAAAGCAAGAGCAGAAATCCATCTTGGATCACACCGTAAAAACAGAGTTTTTCCTACACTAAGAGTTCAACAATTTGGAGAAGGAACTTAAAGAATTCAAACTTTTTCATGTAAGACAGTTAATATATTCCAACTGGAAGAGGAAAAAAAAAGTTCCCTTTTTTATTTATTTAATTTGTATGTTGTTTTGGCTTTTTTTCTATTAATTATATTTATGAAGTGATTTTCCTAAACATCACTACCCAAAATTACATCCCAAATTATATTCCGAAGTGTATTTCATAAGAGCTTGAGGCAGCTGAACAGGGCTATTGCTTTAACATCAGCTTTTTATTTCAACTTCTGGCTACCTGTATTCTGGTGTTTACTATATACTGTATGTTACTATAAACAGCAACAGCTCTCTGTTTTGTATCAGTGCACACAAAGCTGTACGTAGCTTTCATAGATGAGAAGTCAACTGGTCAACAAGACGAAGGTGTCATGTCTGCTTTTATCCCCAGAAGAGCAAATTCATGCTTGCCTTAAAGTCATAACTTTATAATGCTTACAGCAGTCTGTACCTCTGTTCCAACATGACATTTCAGAGCTACAAAAATAATTTCTGCTTTTGAAAAGTTAATCAGTTACCAGAACTAAAAGCTCTAAGCACTCTTGTAATCTAAATGCCTAGGAGAATGTGCCAGAAGTCATAATTAGTGGTGTAGTCAAAGACTTTCACCTCTACATACAGGAACAAGCTTGTAAGAGGAACTAATAAAAGACTTTGAAATACAGCACAGAGCTTTAGACAGGTTACCAACCAGTCCAAATAACAGTTCAATGCTATCTTTCCATCTGTAAAAACCGGGTTATATCTGCTTTAATTCTACAGAAAGCTTTTAATACAAGGTAACTGCTTTAGATTAGTTAATAGTACTCATAGGATGGAGATCAAATATACCTCCTGTACAAGTGAAAAAGTGGTACATAGTGATGCACAGTGCTTATATAATTACATTCTTGTGACAGCATGCTAAAAATCCAACTTCATTAAGATAGCTTTCTTATATTAAAAATAGTTAACATCTGATATGAAGTCAATAGTTTTAGGTTTCCCCTTCCCAACTGGTATTATAAATTGAAAAACACCTATCATCAACAAGTTTCTAAAGAAAGTTGCTTTGATTCGGGTTCTGTTCCCACTTCTATACTCTCTTTTGTTCCTTCCTACAGCAAACTTCTGATATTGTTTATTTTTACCTGAAGGATGTTGCTCCATTTGCTTTTATTTCAGCTTTCTGAACAGGAGATGCTTGAAGCGACATAATTTTATTTCCTGGCAAGGGAATTTGTTTCAGAATGGAACCTAAAACAAAACAAAGAACATGCCATGGTAGAAAGCAAAATGCTAAACCAACTGTTTAATCAGTTCATGCTTCTAGCAAAGACTACTGCAGTCTCAAGAACTACTCAGGTCCATGGAAAACTAGACACTCTAGAATCTTACATTCTACATGTTCTGTATGGCCCAAGCCGCTACACAATGTCAGCAAACACCCTCCTCTCTGCTGACCAGTGAAAGGTTTTAGTGAAAACTGGCTGCCTGAGACAAACTCATGTTATGCATCAACCTGGACCTGCTGAAAGAAAACAATTCTCAAAAGCATCACGGTTTAAAGGAATTTCACTGCAAGGAGCTTACTCACAGTAGTTTTAACAAGTACATATGTTTGGCTGACCTGCTTGTAACAGGTTCCAGAAGCTGACATGGCACTCTCATCAGAGCTCCAAGCAAAAATGTTCAACTTATCATACGGAGCTGGCTGCCCCCAACAGACACCCACCTTCTTATATTCCTACAATCCACAAAGCCTGCACTTATTTCTATACTTCAGCAGTCTTCTCCCTTCTCCATTAAAAAAGTTTCACTTTACCTGCAGGAAACTGGCTAGTTTGAACAAGTGTATTCAGTGGCATGCTTTTCTGAGATGTCTGTAGGGTCAGCGTTGAGGGCTGAGGGAGTGAAGATACTTGCTTTACAATCGTCCCTGACGGTTGTTGGACTACCTGGAAGTGCAATAACACAGAGTGAGAAGAGCTAAACATACATAGAAGTAAATAGTATCAATGTATTAACATGTTCATTTAGCTTTAAGCTCCAGCTCAGGGGGTTCTCTAACAGACACTTCACCTTTACTCTCTACTGAAAACCATATTACACAAGTTTCACTGAGTATTACACGATCCATTACACTTAGAGGCTTTCCTCTATGTAAGTCCTGCTTAACAAGACATTTGAATATTGAATCCGTATGCCAGAAAGTTCAAAAGGGTAGGTATGACATACACCTAGTTAAAAAGAGAGAACACCAAAACAGTTAGAAGTCAAACATGAAATCCTTTTCCTCTCAGGAATTAAGAGTATATACTGTAAAGTTACTAAGGCATTTTTAGAGCTGCAACATCAATTGTAAATTGAGATGCTGCGTTTCAAAGTGTTAAGCAAAAGTAAACCAAACCCATTAGTTAGCTGGAACATGAAGTACTAACCCACATCACCTATAGTGATTACAGCCTTTACACAAAAACATCAGTACGCTGCTGAAGGGTAAAAAGGAAAGGTGAGGATTGTTTTGTTTTGTTTAAAGAGGCTCTTGAAAGAAATAAAACCAGACAGCAGGATGTTGTCACATGGGCCTACAGGCACAGCCCATAAATACTAATTCTTCCTCTTCAGGGGCACATATTAAAATGCAAGAAAGTAACAAAATTCCCCTATCCCTAAAAGCCCATTTCCAAGCCTCCTAGCTAGTAGAATGTGAGCTTTTGTTACATCCTTTGGAAAAGTTCTTGATTACAAGTAATAGAAAGATGTGCTTTTAGCAAAACACAAAATTATCAACATCTTCAGATTGAATCCTACTTTTTTGTCAGCAAAAGCTAATATAAAGGAAGTTCTGGAATCAAGAAGCCACGTTTTCTCCTCTACATCTTTTTTTCTGACTTCAGAAAGTCTAAAGAGTGCTTGTACAGCAACACTGCACAAGTTTAATTGCAAAAAATAATTTATTATACTTCAGAAATTAGTCTGTCTCCTTATGTCATCTAACTTCATATTTGTCAGTAAACATCATCAGGATAAGCATCACTCATTCACAAAAAGAGGCACTTTGTGTATCAAATACTCAAGATACACCCCACCCATGCCCATATTAACAGCATCAGGGTTTGGCATAGCAACAGGAAAGTAGAATAACTGAGCTGAAGGTGGTGTCTAAGAACCAGACAACAGACAGCTCTTGAGAAGAAACCTAAGTTTCAGAAAAGGAAAGAACCATGGGAGTACATGCATGGGCAGACTGCGGACAGAGTCGAGGTTCTCACAGGCAGCACTTGCTCATGAAGTAATACAGACATGAACATTAGCTGCAATGTGTTTTACCAAAGTGCAGTTAGATCCTTTTGAGGGGCCCAGCTTCCATGTGCTGGAAGCTGTAAATAACATTAACAGCATCATTTAGGTGTTCAGGTAATTACTGAGCCACCAACCAATCAACTTGGACAAACTACTCGCAAGGCTCTGCCAGCACCCACCGTGACACGCACCAAGAGATCCTCCCTACCACCAGTGAGAATGATGCTTCGTCTTCAGCATCAAAACACTGAAACAGCACAAGAGGGAACGGAAGCATTCAAGATTAAGGTACAGCAGACAGAAGAACAGAGACTGGCAATGTTAAATCAACAGTCTAGGTGGAGGTTGGGAAATAAGCCAAGTAACCGAGGAGGCTAGATCAACAAGACACGGAAAGGATGTATTGGAAGGAAAGCTAATTTTCTGTTTGCCATTCTAGCTGCTAGACTAACAGAAGCTGGAAGTCCTTGGGAGTTGCTACAGGGAGGGCAACAGTGCTAGAAATTTCAACAAGGATCTAAAGCCAGAAAGAAGTATTACAAAAGTAGGTAATACGTATGAGAAAGAGTTATTGTCCCTTTTCTTCAGGTTAGCAGCAAGAAGTAATAAAGGAAAAGGACTGTTCCTTTGTGCCCCATTAAGGAGGTTGACAGAGACATCAGAATAAAAAGCACCAACACTCTTTAAGTAAAACAAAATTGCAATGCAACATCCAGACAACAGCATAAAGTCAGCTGCCTGAGAGAGACTTTGATTAGCCTTACTTGCATCCGTTCTACATTCATAAAGCAAAATTCAGAGAGCAGCAGAGGAATATTGAGGTATCATCACACACCTCAAGGACTGCTTCAGGAAGGAAGCCTCACCAGCTGAATGCAAAAGCATACATCCAGGACAAAAATCTCTTGAAAAATAACAGGGACTCTCTATTCAAGAAAGCTCAGCTCTGAAGGGACTCAACTAACAACTCACTAAGAACAAGTAGCTGGAACAGCACAAGCACTTCACTTCTTGCTTCAACTGTTAGCAACGTCCAGGGAGTGCGTCTCACTGGTAATTGTGGGAACTACACCATAGAACTCTTGTTCTTTAAGCTTATCATGAAGTTGTAGTCTCACAGCAACTTTCCTGCCATTGGAGGTCAGCAGCTGGTAATGTAGATTTTCATTTACTGTACTTTAACAAGAGATACAGAAATACGGCAGCAAGACAACGCCTTTTTTCCAAGATGAAACTTCTTTGTGAGCCAATACCCTTAAATTAGGCTGTATTAAAAAAAAAAAAGTCATCAGAAGGGAACCCTTCCAAGAGTGCAACTCTCACAGCACAGGCATGCAATCAATCCTAACAGCATTCCTGAAGAACAGGTCCCTGTGTATCCGCCATACAAACCTAGAGTTTTGATAATCACACTACGGAAATGTAAGTTATATGGTGCATCACTCTGGTCACAATTTTGATACTAGAATACTGCAGTACTGCATTCTTATGCACCACCAACATTACAACAGAGCTGGCACATGAAAGTTCATTTCACATTCATCAAGCACAAGAGTCCTAAATTAGAAATGGGTATGTAGAGGGAGTGCATGGCATCAGACAATCCTGTGGGCTGGAAAGGGAAAGAAATTGCTGGCAGCATTATATGGACAGATTTGCACAGCTGGCATGTGCTTCCTTTCAGCTGCCAGCAGGACCCTTCTGTTAGGGAGGGGAGGTCCAGATTTGTTTTCTTCTGGGAGGAAACAGATCCTCTGTCCTTTCAAGGAAAGGCATCAGGGAAGCCCAAGAAGATGCAGCCACTTCTACTAGCTTGGCCTTTGTGCTAACATGTTGTCTGAACAAACACCAAGCTCCTGATAAGGCTAAGCTGCAAAGTGGTCAACTCAGCCTTTCTACAGCAAGTATTTTAATCACTGTGCCTGGGATCTACCCAAATGAGGATAAAAACATGTTTTATATGCAAGTCAGTGTTTTCAAGGCCCAGTGAAGAAAAAGAATTGCAACAGGCTGCCACAATGCAGCAGTGGAGGAAGCAGGAGTAACTTCTTTAGTTCATCAGTATCATACTCAAGAAGTGTTTTGACTCCCCAGTGTAGAGTTAAGCTTCCTCATCTATTTGTACAGATGGTCAACCTTTCCCCTGGATTACATGCCTTGCTGTGTAGCGAACAAACTGCTCTCCAGCCTTTGTGCAACCTAAGAAGACCCCATTTTCTTCTGGCTGGAATTTCAAACTGAATCCTCAAGGACAGTAAGGGTATCAACTCCTTTTCCAGTTTGGCTTTATCTATTACTATTGAAGACAGTGCGTATGCTTATAACTGGTTTTGGTGGGTTTTATTTCTTAGTTTTTAAAACAAACACACTCATAAAAAGGACCTCTCATCTTCTCCAAGATGTGCTATTCCTTTTAAGCAAGACTGGAAAGGTGAAAAGCTGGTAGCATAAGCTCTTTATTTAGAATCCAGGATTCTTGCATTACATCCACCACCACAACAATATCCCAGCTGAAACGAGGACACTTACATACTTTGAAAAGAAGAAAACTAAAAAAGCAAAATATTTTAGGGGTCTGCATACTGTTAAATCAAGTATACACAATGAATTACATAGGAAATTCACACACTAAATGTCCTACTATACCTGTGAAAACTAAATCTGGCTTCACAGCAAGTCTAATGTTTTCCCCTCCTTTTAGGGAAGAAATCCTTACAAGGAAGTCCTATTCAAGAACTCGAGTTCTTTAACTGCCAAAGGGAGACTTGTCTCGAAACGCTTGGGAACACTACTTACAGATAAGCCAGTTAGATGGCATACTACTTGGTATCTCAAACACCCAAAAACCAAACCTCATGTATTTCACAACATTGGTCTTTGGGGTATACCTGCGAACCACAGTTTGCTGGTATTTAATATTAACAATAGCAAGAGGTTAACCTGTGCCAAGACAAAAAAGTTAACACATTGCTTTGGAAGGTATTGTTTGAATAAGACATTTATTTCTCCTCAAATCTGTTAGCTAATGAGGCCTAATAGAAAAAAACTTCACTTTTGGATTACTTCATCATTAACATGTCTTAGTAAATGTGGAGGTCAGAACTCCACTCTGAAAAGCTCATTTAGCTAGTTTGTACGTTTCAGTTAACATGTAACTAAACAACATCAAGTCACCTGCGACTGCAAAGTATCCATGTATATCCAGGGTAGGAACTGGTAGAGAGACTGGAATCCTTGGTGGCTAGCCGAGGCACAGCCCTAACAGAGCATCTAACCATAATTAGCACAAGCATCTCATAAGCAATTTCTGTTTCTGACACTAGCACTTCATGCCTTTTCTTTCAGATGCCAACTTATCCTGGCTGCACACACAGCACTGGTCAGAACTCATATTCCATCATGTCTCCAGCTCTGTGTTTGGTCTGGTGGAATGGTGGTCAACCTGTCTTGCAAGAGACCAAGCTTACAGTCTGGCTTTCACCTTTTCAGCAAGGGCTCAGTACCCCTAAACTATGACAAACATAACTGATTAACTTATGACAGACTATCTTCTGGTTAGCTCATGGCAGACTGATTTCGTAAGTTTAGAAAAAAAAAAAAACCCAACCAAAACAGCTAAGATCCAAAGTCGTATCCTCTTTACAAAATGGTATAAGTAAAGAAGCCCAGTTACAGAGACACAGAGAAACTCATCTTACCAACTGTTTCACTTTAACCACTTGCTGAGCACTCACTGACTGTGCAGCGACGGAGTTCGGCTGTGAGATTTTGATAGTGATTGGGGTTCCAGTGACTGATTTTAGATGCTGGAGAGGGGACGTTGCTGAAGATGCCCCTGTAGAGACCAGCACTGGCTTTGGAGACTGGAGAGTGGGTGTTGGTACCACAGAGGTGAAGACTGGCTTGACAGTTTGGATAGCAGTCAGCCCTGATGTTGCTGTCGTGGTGGTGAGGACTGAAGCTGCAGGCCGAAGAGATGCTGTCACCACTGCAGAGGAAGGAACAGACTTTACGGTCTGCAGAGATGCCGTTGCTGATGCACTGACAAGGACTGGTTTTATAACTGGAGAGGCTGTGACTGTTACAGAGGCAGATACTGGTTTTAGAACTGGAAGAGAAGGTGTTGCTACAGCTGAGGTTACCACCCCTCTCAAAGTAGCTGGTGCTGCAGAGATACAAGTCAAAACAGCTTCTGGGGTTGGAGCTGGCTGCTGCATACACTGCTGGATAAAGCTCTGAGCATTGGGCATTAGCTGCCGTAAAGCAAACATGCTTTTCTGGAAGAAAAAAACAAAAAAAACACTTGATGTAATATTAGCAGAACCTTCCACAGTACTGATACATTAGCAACTAAATCCTCATATTCTAATTCAATTTCTCATGAGACAATGAATTGCTTACTTCAAGCAAGTTTTGCTAGAATTCAGGGACCCTTAACTTGATGAGGCTACTGCTCAGTGAAGACCACAAGAAGCACCAACGCAGGCTGAACAAAGGTCAACAGTCACAATGGCTTCACTGTACATAGCAAACCCCATCTATAGGAAACTCACCCATAACCTGGTTCTCTTGTTCAGATTTTTCAATTTGGAATTTATTCATAGTAAGGCCATTCTAACTGCTTTTTTTTTTTTAATTTGTTTTGAAAAAACCCTGCTATATCGTAACAGCTGTGTTCATTCCACAAAGCGTATCTGACAAAGAACTACAAACTATCCACCAAAGTCAGAAACAAGCTCCGAAGACAGGAGCACTTCTATACCAATACAGCTATATCTACACTAGGGGGGGATACCACTTTAATAATGTCTGTATTGCTCCAGCAGCACGACTTAAGCCAGACAGTTCTTTGCAACAGGAGAACGAACATCAGTAAAGGTATATGGCAACTCTTCATTTTCACTACAGCTGTGTTTGAGAAGGTTAATGGACAGAATAACCTTCAAGCCTTCTAAAGATTTTTCTCCTTGACTATGTACAATCTGTTATGGCTCAGAACCAGGGGAAATAAGTTCTGCAGCTACCTGTATATTCTCACAACTCCCCTTTTTTTTTATACTTTTGTCAGTTTTGAAGTTTGTAAGAGTCTGCAGCATAGTGCTGTCGCTCTGGGCTTCATACAAAAGGAATGTGTCTCACACCCTAATACACAAGTAAACAAATTGCACGCCTGCACCTTCTGCAGCATGCCTACGTTTAACATTCACTTCCTTTCCTTTTAAAAGGCTGCTCAGCATTCCACATGCTCCTGATGCAATTTGTTTACCAAAAGCATCCATCAGAGATTTGAAAAATCAAGCAGGCTTCACAGCCAAAGTCACTGTACTTTTCCACCTATTGGAACAGACAAAACAAAATGTGCACCAATTTCATCAAAAACCTGCAGCCCAAAGATAAGACAACTCTAGAGAGTCCTCCCTAAAATTCCACTTCACTAGCTAGAAGTAAATTGGCAACAAGTCATACCACATTTCTTTCCAGGCTCAAGCTGCAAGTGTTTCCCCCACAACAAGGCCAGCACAGATCCTCCTAGCACTTTAGAGAAGTGCTCCTGAAGTCAGCTTCCGTTTTTCACTCAGTCCTGTTACAGCTGCTCAGAGCTACACTCTGTGTATCAACCTTAAGGTATTTCACACAAAACTATCAGAGTGCAAGATGTTTTAAAGGATGGGTAACACTACAAAGTCAGCTAACTTTGACCACAATGATGCTTAAACGTATCTGAAATCCCAGTCTTTCTTTGTTAACATAAGTGTGCAACAGGGAGAGAGCATCTTGTCAAAGGATTAGGGGGTACGGATACTGCTCAAAACAGAAAAGCCTGGATGACGCCAGTACCTGGCAGCATGCTGCGGTAGCTCTACTGTGATGGGTCAGGGTCTGATCCATGCTGATAAACCCAACTCAACTGCTGTTGAGCTGCTTAGAAGACTGCGTCCTGAGTGTAGCAGCTCTCCACACTGTGGGATGTTCTATTAGCTCAGGCTGAGCAATTCTGTAAGTGCATGAGGACATGCTGTGCCTGAGCTAAGAAACCCTTGTGGGACACCAAGGAAGCATTTGCAAGTGCAGTGCAGCCACCCCTTCACTCCTCTACATGGCTCACCAGCCCCAGACAAGGTCTAGCTGTGCCAGATTCAAGCTGGGTCTGCGTAAAGCTTTCTGAGGTTCAACTGCACTGTTTTGGGAACACAGCAACACCTAAGCTGGCCCCATGCAAGCACAGTCAGCCCATGTCCAGTGGCTTTCATAGCCAGGGCCCCTGCAGGAAGCAGCTATGCTACTTCTGAAGCCAAACTTGCCCTGGTAGTCAGTAGGGCTCTGCTAAGACTCCACACAGCTCATAGGAAACCACTGCCAGTCGCACTGACTGTACACTCACAGCCTAGTCCTTCTGCAGCCAGAGATGCACTGGGTACAGAAAAGCCCATACTCTAAGCTGTTTGGTCTTCTAGATTTTGCATGGGCATTTAAGAAGCCTCCAGGAAATTAAACAGAGAATAAGTAAGTGACCAAAATTTTCCATCACACCTCGCAGAAATTACTGTAGTCTCCAAGACTTACGGCAAACTCGCTAGCAAAGCATCTCAAGATTGACATTCTAACAAAAATACTCATTCCATACTTGAACAGATTAACACCAGCCATTTAAAGTAGTACAATATTACCACATGCATTGTTATATGCGCTGTCAAATACTAAAGAAGCGGACAAGGTCCAGAAAACCTTTATCTCAGCTTCACCATTTAACTATTCTTCCTCAATTCTCCATCATGCCTATAAGGAATGCCAAGGAAAAGTACACATCTATCAAGCCTAAGAATAGTGCATACATTGCAATTAAATAAGTGTAGCCAAGTTTTACATGCTTCCACTGGGATTTAATGCTTGCTGTGCAATAAGCATGTTGATTTTTTATTTTATTATTACCATTCTACCATATGATTAGAAGCCTAAAGACAGAATTTTTAATTTACATGATTAGTTGCTTGAATGGAAGCAAGAGTTGTCCTTGGTTACTTTTCCTAAGCTGCAGTGGCCCTGTCAGACCCCTTCTGGAGAAACAGGCAGCGTATTCCTCTGCCTCCAGTTAAACACAAACCCGCGACATATGAATAGCTTTGTGTAGATACTTTGAGATTAAATGCTACATAAACTGTGCACAGCCACTGTTGTCAGTCTTGTGTATTAGAACTCAGAATAGCTAGTTTTGATGAGAAAGTAAGAAGCCATCTTGGTATAGTTGCTCTACTGGAGATGTACCAGTTTAAAAACTAATATTAGTCTCTGATAATGACTTAGAGGATAATTACTCTCCAATTTAAGAACACAGCATAAATCACTCCTCTGAACTCTTCCATTACCAAAAAAATTGTCTTTCCAAGAGTAAAAGTCACACAGGGCCAGGTTAACTATCATTTCCTCAAGTAACCTGAGAAAACACCTATTTGAATGCTCTCTCTTAATTTTCTTTTCTTGTCCTCCCTCCCCTCAATAAATATTATATATCCACAGACACTTACCTTGAGAAAAGGAACTAAATATGGTTGTGGAGATGACTTGAGCTCTATGTATAGCTTTTTTGTAAATTCTTCTGGTTCGATTTTTGCTTCCTAAGAGGAAAGTATAATTACGATGGTAAGTTATAACTATGAATCTACCATATTTTTCTCCCAGATGTATCAAAAATTCATGAAAATTTAAATGACCATTAAATTGTTCAATTTCAGTACTCAATTGCTTTTCTCCTCCTGTAGTTTAAACAAAACGTTTTAGGATAGAATGATGTTGTAATTTAAATATACTATTATCAAATTAAATTACTTTCTTCAACCATAAGCAGTTAACACACTGAAGTGAACTGACAGAAACAAGTAGTACTGATCCGTTTGAGTACCTTGCTGTTACACAGAGATATTTAAAATCTACTTTGAGTACTTATTTCTTTAAAGGTAGTTTATCTGAGTAGAGATCAATTTAAAGAAATCAGGGTCAAAAGACAACTAAGTAGGTTTTGTAAGACAATTCTAGTGTAATGTATACCTAGCATAATAAAGCAGAACACTTAACACTGTTTTTCAAAAGCAGCAGAAATTGAACATTAGAACATCACTCCTGCATACCACTATAGAAACAGTCTTCTGGCCTGTAGAGTCTCCTTTCTTAATGCTTTCCACTCTTCCCCCAGCACAAACACCTGACTCAAGGGCTCGGGAGTGTTAGGAAGCTGCAGCAGACTTCTGAGACCCTCTGCTTACTACTTCAGTATCACTATGAAGGGGCTAAGGTGATAGGTAACCCCAGACACTGCTGCCCTCTCTCACCCTCCCATGTGAGACCCATGTGAAACCCTGCCACAGAGTCCCCAAGAAAATTAAGTCCTTCAAGAAGGTACAGACATGCAAGGAAGAGGAACCTGGCACCAATCTCTGTCTCTACAGAGAAAAGACTCCTTTCAGCCGTATTCCCATTCAGAACCAGCACCCCAAGGAGCTACACGACCAGAGCACAAGTTTTAAGGACTCTATTCACAGACAGAACTTGCATCTGCTCTCTTATGTGGTCATTTGATCTGCTGCCTGTTAGGTCTCACTAAGTTTTGGATGCAGGTCACCAAGGTTGCCCTGATACAGATGCAATGATTTGGTACACTACATCTCAGTGCATGCAAGGTTCTTGACACCCACTTCACAAGATGTTGCCTTAAGGACCATTTTACTTCACAGCTGCCATTTCCCTCATACATACAAAACATAATTTATTTCACATTCCAATCATATACACATACTGAATGGCAGAAGAATAGCATTCTTTAAAGTACTACAAAAAGCAAACAAGTGCACAGTTAACGATGTATTAATGTCTGGTAACAATTGTGCTTAAAGTACTGTAAGCACAGTAAGGAACAATTCTAGTATTTTCCTACAGAAGGAGTCCAGCAGGGACACAAAAGCAAAGAGCTCACACTTTTGTAAGGCTGCATCTTCAAACAATCTGCTCTCTGAAATTACACCTCTTGTCTACACCATACTTCTCTAGTCTGAAAAGCCCTTTGGTACCACTAGCAAAGCCATCCCCCTCCACCAGCCCACAGCCTTCTGCTACAGTGGAACAGAACAGCAGCAGCGGTCAAATGCCAAGACAAGAAGTGGCAAGAGAAATCATTACCAAGAAAACCCAGCTGCACTGGGGTGCAGCACAAAGCAGCATAAGGAAGCCACCTGCAAGGAGAGAGACAGGTTGGCAGCCACCACGTCATTTTCTCCATCTCACTGTCTAAAGACATAGATAATGTCATGCTTGTTCCACAGGAGCTTCACTATCAACATATAAATCAGTTTTGTCTTGGAATAAAGTAGTATGTAAAAAAGTAATAATAATGAAATCAGTGATATGGACTTAGCACTGCACTACAACCTCCACAGTAGTACTTTTGCCATTGAGGACTGAATATTATATCAACATGATAAAATAAAAAAAGCAGCTTAGACCCAGAAGCTGTGTTAACACTATCAACTCTTTCTGCTGTCAGTTACCTGCATGCATAAAATGAAACAGGAAGGGGTGGGCAATACAACATGTATTTAAACACAGTTAAATTAAGAGTTACACTGTAAGGCTTAAAGGGTCAGATGCACTCAGCTGCAAGTCCAACTCTTCAGCTGTTTACAAAAAAATAAAAGGAAAATAAAAAAAGACAAGGAACAAATCTATAATGAAGTCGATGTCAAAAACAGTAACACAAATTATGCTGACTTTCAGACTTTGTTAAAAACAATAAATAGTCTCACCAGTAGATTTTGCACCAGATTCTTCACATTCTGCCCTGTCTCAGGGGCTTGAGGTCCATTAGATGCCAGTTTTATTAATGTAGCAAGAAAATTCTTGCATTTCTTCACATTCTCTAGCATTTCCTAGCGTGGAAATAAAGAGAAGACTGTTAGATGCTGCACTGGCTCTCCAACCTCTGATGAATATAGAGAATGTTAATTAAAAACTTTTTTTTTCCCTTACTGTAGAAGCACTGGTCTGTGCTACTGCTGTGCCCTCTGCTTTCACAGAGACTGCCTTTTGGGAGATAGCATGCGCAGGTGGTCCTGTAACTGGAAGTTTTACAGGTGTTCCAGTACTCGAAGGCTTTACAGCAGTAACTGTAGTAACACTAGCTGTTGCAGCTGCTGTCTGGAAAGAAAAATTAACACTTTTCAACCAAAGACTAACGTGACAAACATACTGTATTCTGCTACTGTACAAGGTAGCACCCTCCCTCCACACTATTATTTGAAACATAAATAAACTACATTTATCTTTTGTTTTAAAGCTTTGATTCATGTGCTTTGAGATGCTCTATTTAACACAGGAAGTGACTGAACCCCCACAGCCATAATTTTGTTTTTAAATTAAGAGCAGGGGGAAAAAATGGCAAAGGCTCACTCAGACTGAAGCATCGCCTGCAAATTCCAAGTGCAGTGAGAAAAGTAAAGTTGTATTGAAGAAAGCAATGTATTAACTTTGCCAGGCTCCTGCATTCCAAGACTAATGAATTTTGGACAAAGCTAAGCCAAGTGATTATACTCTGAAGAAAAACACGATCTTTAGTGACTATTTATCTTCCCCTCTTCCCCTGCAGTTTCTCTCCTAATTGCAATATCCCTTACTCTTCCTACCACATGCACAGTAGGCAAAAGGCATCATGTCCACTTTGGAAGGATGCATGCTCCAGCAAAAGCAGCCAGGTGAGCAAATGCACCTAACCAGTTCTTCCTGCTTTTCCTTGCAGCCAGCAATTTGGACCTCTCTCCTCTGCCCGGACACAAATCCTCACAAAATTCAGTTATGTTGGTAACTCTTTTTAAAATCTCATTAGAATTTACCAACAGGTTCAGAAGCTCCAGCAACAGGAGTAATAAAGGTTTAGGAAAAAATAAGAACAAAATCGCCTCTCGCCTTTGCAAATCAGACTAAATAGTAGTTCCCAGAGGAAAATCTACTAAACTGAAGTATTACTACTTCAGATTTTAACAAAAAAAAAAAAAAAATCACAAAAAAAAAAAATCACACCAACCTACACTCCAAAACCCCAATACAGTTCTTCTGATACAACAGAATACAAGGAGTAAAAGATTTTGCTTCTACAACACCTACTACTTTTGATTTCTCAACTTGAACACTAAAAAGCCAGACTGAACCTGCAGCTTACAGAAAAGCAAGAGTTTCAGGTTAGCATTTGAAACCTGAAGTTGGGTGTTGTTTTCCCTCCAATCTTCTCAAGAGAAAGGAAAAGTCTGGTTTTGTAGGTGAAATTCTAGGTTGAGATCTGCAGGACACAATTGCTATCACTGACTCTTAACATATTTAAATGCCCCAGTTTAGTGTAACAGTCACAAATTATTACTTGCTAATTGCATGAATGATATGACAGTAGCATAAGTGCTTAACACCCTACCATGTTCTGATAAAACAAAAAGCAATCAGAGCAGGACAGACATCATGTAGAATATCAAAGGGCATTTAAGTCTCAGGATAGGGAGAATTAATGAACAAACATATAAAGCTAAAACAAAACACTTTCACTTAATCGATTTATTTATAAATTATATTTTTCCTGGGTGGGTGTCCCCCCTCCCCAGGCTGCTGCCAGCTTGACATGAAAGAAGCAGGCTGCTACCAGAAAGCATTCCAGCTTAGGCTCCCGCTGTTGGTAACACTTTAATAGCTCTCTGCAGGATCTTTGCCACCACTGCCTCTTCCAAGGATGAGGCCCAACAGTTCTAAGACCACAGGGAGGCAAACTGGGCACGAGAATCCCACAAACAGATGGATGGGAGGAAGACGGAAGGGGACAGAGCACACATCTGCCAAGCTGCAATGCCCTGGGCGTTTCAAAGTCGAAAACATGAGGTTCGCAGGAGCTGATCTCTTGCAAATTCCAGCATGTTTACACATCAAGACCAAAACAGCATTTTATCAACTGAGGGAGGGAACAACAGGAAGTCTGCTGGACCTTTTTCCCAGGAAGATGGGTATATGGGAATTAACTTCTGTCATCCACCCTTAGCCTTTTTCACTACTGACAACTCTCATTCTCACTTTGAGCAACAGAGAAATAGTCACCACGAAAAATGGCATTAATCCTGCATATTTTGAAGTCATTTCAAAAGAAGAAGTGCTCTGCATCTAAATAAAAGTGCCCCAGCATGATGCTAATTAGATATTTTGCAGCTTCGTTACCCCATCTGGGAAGAAGGTAAAAAATAAAAATGTGCAGGTATTTTGTCTAACCTCAGAGCTTAAACATTGAGGAATGTAAAAAAAACAGAATTGTTTTTGTAGTTGAGGAGAATAATCCTGGAATCAGCAACTAGACAAGAGGTTTGCAGATGGTAGTGATCCAATTAGTACTTCACAGAGGATAAGAGATACAAGACCAAGCCAAGGATAACTCCCTCTCCGGTGTCTCCTACTTTTTGTGATGACATCGTGCTTCCACACCAACACTCCTCTCCTAGTGACCTCAAAAAATCTGTCACGATTAACATCAGCAGATTCTTTTTGGACTGATAAATGAATCAGTGCCAAGGAAATCAGACCCCCGGGCACTCCCTTCCCCAGACTAAGGTTCCTGCAACCTTATGCACAGATTCCCTTGCCATCACTCTTCTCTCGTCCATCCCAGGGTGAGGAGTGAAGTGACCCTGTAATGGTAGTATGTATCCATACTGCACCTATTTACTCTTTGTTGTACAAGGAGGTTGTACAGAGGGCTTTACAATCCTCTGCAAAACAGAGGGGCTCCAAGGAAGCCACTCCAAACAAAACAGCTCTATTAATTTTTCCTGCAGTCATCATTCCTGCTATTTAAATCCAGCCCCATGGCTCATTAGAAGTCTCTCAGTTTCTACAACAGAAAAAGGTACAGCTTACTCTACTTACTCCATGTCTACCTCCTTAAATATCTCAGAAGAACACAACTAAAATTGGTTACATTAAAACTGAACTAAGAAAGTACAGAAGAACCAAGTCAAAGGCAGATACAAGTTAAAAATGGAAAAGTTAATAACATGATGAATCTCAATGCTTATCCACACAAGATTGTGAAAATGCAGGTAGATTCACCCATCAGATGATGGATGAACTTCGCCTCTTCTCTCCAGTGCAAGGGTAGTATAGCTGATGACTTGCTTTTATATCCTGAAGATCTCTATGCATAGATCACAAGCACATGGTTTGCAAGCTAGTATTCCAAAATAAAAGTGGGTAAGGGTTATCCATTACTGTTCTTAGACACAAAGCATACATTGTTTCCATTCTAAGCAAAATAGAAAATGTATTAAGAGGCATCTGGGTTTTCCCCTCTAGCCCCAGCATCATCCACCTGTAGTGAGAAGGAAAAGAAAAAAGATCAGAGCTGTGAGTAACTTTCAGTTGCTGATAAGAAGAACAGCAGGATGATGAATTTTTAAGTCAGACTGATAGTTACCACTGTCAGGAAACATAACCCCAATAATTCAAATACCCTCAAGGTTGAGAGCATATATCCAGCAAGGTTTTTTTTGAATGACTGACCCTGCTCATTTACTGAGTGCTTGGTCAACAGCTACAGCCCTGTCTTCTTCAAGCTCTTGTTCACAAAAGGTAAGTACAAGCTAGACTTCTTCCCAGTTTCTCCTCCAGATTACAATAAGAACAGAAAACTTCAGCTGTAGAAAGAAGTAGTTTTCTTTTCATCACACATATTTATCCAGAACTCTGGTCCCCAAAAACACAGGACGAACTGTATCTGATCATATCCTTCAGGTAGCAAGAGCTTCTTCAGAAGAGTCCTACAACATTTTTTTTCTGGAAAAACAGAAATAAGACCTAGGAAATAAGACTGTCTATTCACAGTCATATTTGTGGAATCTGTTTACCAAACTCAATTAGAGAACAGAGGTCTTCAGTTATGACCTTCCTTCAGTTTTTAATGAGAGGAAAAAAAACACCCTACACATGAAAAACAGCTTGACTGGTGCAGACAGCTCACTTTCCACTCAACATCATCTTAGGTATACTTTTTTTTCCCCTAAGGAATCAGGGAATCCCAACAGAGACCATTAAGAATTCTCCATTTCCCAGAAAGGCTTCAGCCTGAAGGAGCTCTGTCACAAGGTACAAAAGCACTGGAAATGGTGCTCTGAACCATTTATTCTATCCATTGTTCATGTGTTTTTTTACTGTAGTGAGATGAAATGATCTGACATACACTGGCAGAAGCATAATTAAATTATGCATTTAAAAAAGACATTCAGGAAATAATTTATTGTGAGGACAGAAGTTATCAAGATTACTGAAAAACTGATTGGAGTAAGAAATAACAAGAATGCATCTGTATCTTCTTCAGTTCTCTCACTTATTCCACCACATTATAAAGCTTGCCACCTACCTGTATTACAGCAAGTGGCTGAACAGTAGAAGCCACAGCATTTGTTGTCTGAGATACTGTTTTCACAGAAGTAGCTGCTACTTTCTTTAGTAACTGGGTAGCAGAGTTCTTAAAAATAATTAAGAAAAAAATAATTATACACGTGAAGGGAACAGCTGTCAGACAAATCAGTGACAAAACAGACACTGAAGTTAATACCTGCTCTTGTCCGATATAAACCAAGACATCTACTCCTACAGTAACAATAGGCATCACCCACATAGTCAATATAGTTTAATCACTTCCAACAAAGCTATCTGTCTACCAGTTTAATACTCAAGAACTGAGGCAGAGGCATTTAGATATAATGGCTAATCAGAATAAAACAGTTAAAAGGATGAGCATGTTGGCAAGAAATATGCAGTCACATTTTTGTACCCACTCTTACGTGCTGACCACATTAGGAGAGGTGAAAGCAAACAGCCATCAGAGCTCAGGGAAGGAGGAACATCTTGGGGACATGGAAAAGGTCCTCAGTTCCACTTAGCCTTACAGAAGCATCCAACCAGAGGACTGTAAGGCAGCAGTTATTAACAGTAACCACTCATGCAGGGTTTTTTTAATTTGGGGTTGTGTGGGGTTTATTTTTGTTGTGGTGGTTTGGGGTTTTTTTGGGGGGACAGGAGGGGAGGAAGTGGTGGGTTTTTTTCTTAAAACCCTTTACATTGTCATCATCATCAGTGAGGAACTCCTTAATTTGAACTATACCATATGTAATGGCCAGCAGGGTTTTTTTAAAACTGAGAAAGCAAAGTACATGGTGATGCTTATGTGCAAAACCAAACACCATCATGCTGCTCAGAAAGTGTTCAAATGCTTATTTAGCTCTCCCTAACTTCTTTGCAAACCCTGTTGTAACTACATAACATACAGCTACATCAAATTAAAGCTATAAGAACGTTTACCTGTACAGCACATATTCTGATTGCAGGTGTGGTGGTCGGTACAGATGGTCTCACACTTGTGTTATTTTGTGGCTGATTCTGTGCTTGTGCTATTGCTTGTTGAGATACTAGCATTAGCTGACCACTACTGCTTCTGATAAGAACTGCTCCTGTTGGAGAAAAACATCCAGACTGTTAAAAATTAAGCAGTATTACAGCTTTCCTATGCTTCTGTGGAAGAAATAACTAGACCACACTGATAAGGTAATGTAATATTTAGTTTCTTACTCCAAGGATCGGCTGCCAAGATATGCAAGAGCTAAGTATACATCAGCTTTACTCTGCATTTTATGACGGAAAACAATTCTTAAAGTCAAGAGAAAAACTTAACTAGACAGCCACATCAAAACACTATATGCAAAGTGCATCGTTTGAGTCAAAAAGATATTTTGGACATTAAAAAGACAGACACACCCCACACACTCGGCAATTACTTTAACAGTAACTCCTTTAAGGTGTTCTTCAATCTGCAAAATTCATCACCACTATCATACTTGGCTGCCTCTGCACATTTTTACTTTCTGAACATCTAGGCACATAGCTGGTGAAGATACGATTTAGAGAAAACCTGCAATGGGAACTGAAGCCTGATTAGTACCAGTGCACCCGCCTATATCAAGACAATCCCCGTCAGTCAGAGAACAGAAGTATACAGTTAAAGCCAAGGCCACATCTGAAGCTGTCCCTCTGTCAAGGGTCTGTCCAGAAGCATTAAAATGAATGTTTTTAATCAAAGCAGCCTGCAATCAAATAGGGAGATTCCAACGGGAAAGAGAAAAAAAAAAAAAAAAAGGGGGTGGGGCGAGGGGCAAGAGACTCTTCTGCATTGTTTCCTTCCTTGTTTTCCTTTCAAGTCTACAGCAATGTCAGCCCATCATAATTCAACTCTTACCACCTTTCTCATACCCCATCAGCTATAATGATAAGCAGTTAAACAGATAAATAATGAACATTTCTACTAAAGCTTTCAAGTGAAAACCACCTTAATGAGAATCAGTCAGATGCCACAACACAGTCCCATGTTCCCTGCGTTTGGAAACCATTCAGCTGCCCATGCCTCCTCCTCCCCTAAGGGGTAGTGGAAAATCCAGAGTTTCATCAGGGTCACAAACACAAAATGCCAGCTGGATCCCCAGTCTGAACAGCTTCAGATCCTTCAAGGGAGCAGCTATACTGCATCCTACCTTTGCTGGTGCCTCACATCTCCTTTACCTTCAACAGCAGCTGCTGCAGAGTCCACCACTAAAACCACCATCCTCTAACACCTCACTTAAAGGCTTTATTAAACTTTCTTACGAGTTATCCAGTATCTGAAAAATAAAAACCAAACCAGATCTCCCATGCACGCTCACAATCTTGCCTAGTATAAAACAAGGTTGTATCAATGAAATAGTCTTTTTACCACATGGTTAGTCTGGAAGCTATCAAAACATTCTGTACAATACAGACTATAACACTGCTTCTGTCTAAGTTTAAATGAATGAAACAGGAAAAGCCACAAGCTCTGCAAATTGGGTTCTGTTTAAAAAGAAAAAAGATCAAGTTATAACCACATGCTTAGAAACAGCTTTTCATCCTCCACATCTAAAAACATAAGAGGATTATTGCAAGACAACACAAAATATGGTATAAAACTCTAATGTCAACATATTGCCATTTATATAGCACACTGAGACTGCAAGAGCAGCATCTAGACATTCTCTCCTTTATCAAGCAGTCTTTACTAGATGGGGCAGATGCACAAGACAGTTGCATATGCAGAAAAATCCTGTTCCTCCATCTGACAACTCAGCTTTCTCCTCCACTGAAGTCTTCACTATAACTATATTCAGTCTTCTAATTTAATAAATGAATAGCTGTAATCACAGAAAACAGATCAGATTTCTAATTCCCTTTTCATGCTATCTTATTCAGACAGTGACCCGTGCCATACAATTCATCATCAGCCAGAAAAAGGGCAGTTTTTTCCTTGTTCACATGACACGCTCATGTAGATTCTACGAGAAGAGAGCTGATGTTACCACACATTTTGACAGCAATAGCTTTTCTCTGTAGGTCTACATTCAGGATGGCAGAATGTTGCTGCTGGAGGTTTAAGGCTTTTCTTTCTTAAACTTGCTTAAAAATGTCGTTGTTAGCTCTACTCTTTGAGAGGGCACATATAAGTTTATCATTTAATTCCCTTAGAGATTTGGAATGCATTAAGCGGTCTGCTTCATGTATCTGGCTATTTTGTCACTATCCATTAAATTTGTTTTTTAAGCCAAGCTGTCAAAAGCACAACTGCATATTTTCTACTTGTCTGAATTATACTGCATACCAGAAACAGCATCATTACCAGTCAACTCGGTTATAAGGGTTGGAGCTTTTTTCCTGCTCTTGGTTGAAACTCTTCTGAAGTTTCAGGTAACATTTGGCACAGATGGAAACTCTGCCTGAAGAGTATCCCCTCCTCCGGTGACTTGAATGGGGGAGAATTTCCTTGACAAAACTGGCTCAAGGGCAATACAGCTATCAAGCTTATACAAATACAATACAGTTCATATGCAAATTCATGAACATCTCAAAAAAACGAAAGTAAACAAACAACAACCACTAAAATATTAACAAGTCCCAGCAGTCCCTTACATTTTGACCATCACCAACAGCACTGTACCCTGAAATATAAATGAACTTTCCTCCTAGTAACAGGATTAGTCAATGTAAGGACATCCATACTTCATGAGAACACTGTAAAATAACTTTAGGCTTATTCTTGGTGCAAGCATCCACAGAAGTTACCTAAGGCCATTCCAGTGGTTACAGCCTCGATTGAAATATATAACTGAGATGATACCTGTCTACTTCCATGCAAGTTATGGTAAGATCCTGTTCCACTTGGAACAAACATTAATTTCCCTGTATCTGTTCCATTTGGCAGTGTCCTGGGTTCACCTTAAACTATGATAGGCAGAATTTTTAATATGGTGGTAGCCTTTTCATGTCAGCAGCTCTTCTGACAGCTAGCAAAATTAGAACTCACAAAATCAACAAACCCAGTATCATAGTAATCTACTAACTGGCTTTTGTAGGCTTAATACTGTAAATTCCTGATGCTAGCACGAATAAAGCTGAAAACAAATTTGAAATGGCTGTCATAGCTACAGATTTGTACAGTGAAGAGCCACAAGACATCCCTTCAAGCATGAAACACGATTCTGGATAGTTACAACCTAGTGTCATGAAGTGACAGTAAACTGGCACAGGGATTGTCTGAAACAGTTTGAAAGCTGTTGAGAATGGCATTTATTTTTTTACTTCTGGTTGCCATAATTTATGTATACTTTCATGACTTAAAAATACCCCTATCTTTTGATACACCCTTTCAGCCTTGAAACAAAAGCAACAACCCGACACTGAAGTCAGTAGTACAGACTCCAAGAGGAGACATGGGAAGTGTCTTCTGCCAGAAGAAAAGGATCCATGGTATTCAAATTCTGTGTCTGAAGTCTTATACACCACATCCATCTCACAACTTTGAAACAGGGAACAGCAGGTGACGGTAACCTTGAGGTTATCAATAAAAAGGTCACATAAACAGACTCATGCAGCTACCAAGATATACTACTGTCAGAAATGAAGATAAGTGCAAGAATCTATATTCTTCACTTAGGGGGGAGGAAGGAAAATACAATATTTCTTATCAAGAGCTGTTACATTCACTAGAAAGCAATTTTTGACAAACTAAAAGTGAAAACAGATCAGGTGTTGCAGTCAGTGCAACTCCGAAGCAAAATGGGGGTTGGGACTGACTTCTGAACAGCTGAAACAATGAAGTTTCAGGTAACACCACTCAGCACAGCATTTAAAACCAGAAAAAGTATCTGCAATCTCTGACCAAAATATCAGCACTAACTGTAGTTACTGAACAGCAATGAGGCATCTTCATAACACCAAAGGTGCCCTCTTTTAGGCAACACTTCCAAGAAATACGGATTTACTGAAGTTGTTTCAGAGAACAGGAAAGACTTTCTCACCAATTACGCACTTTGATAGTAAGAGTAAGGCTACAAGGCTCTTCCCATTTTCCAGTCACAAACAGAAAACCTAAAGTGACCGGTTACCAGCAGGGATGAGTTCTTGCATGTTTTGCTGGAGGACTCTGGTGTCTCGCAGATTAACAAACAGCCCTTTTTAAAATGAATTGAGACTTCTGCCTCTGGGTATATTCTGCCTGTCCTGCCAAGAAAAAAAATCCTTTGGAAAGTTATTTCTTTCTCCTGACTGCCAGACGGGACAGTTAAAGTAAAATCAGCTATTTCAGTCCTTTGTTCCCAGCACACTTTCCTTCAGCGAGTCTGAAGGGGAAGGAACTGACAACCAAACCCCAGCTCAGCTTCCTCCAGAGCTACTCAAGAGCAGCCACACTATAGCTACTTACCTTAAAGATGTCTCACTGAGACCTATGCCCTTTCTCCCCAGTGACCTGACCTCCTGGAACAGGAGCTCAGGGAACCATGCCTCCAGAAAGAGTGCCCAGCATCATTCCTAAGCTCAGGCAGCCGCAACCTACAATACCCTCTTCCAAGGCCAATAGTGTCTGCCAAGGAAAACCAGAGGCCTTCGATTAAAATTCTATTTGCTGTCCAAACCCGAGATACCTCCACTATGAATTTTTGTTGTCCCAGTTCCACCAATAATCCAGCTTTTTCAGAACTTGGTTAGAATAAACTTCAAATTTTCTAAGCTGTAGCTGTGTTTAGCATTCAACTTGGAATCAAGAAACAGAGGTCAGAAGGAGCAGCAGCTTCCAGATACCTCTTCATCGCAACTACAGACAGAGAACCAAAAATTCACCAGAGACATGAACAAGATGCCGTGGGATCATGGCATAGATCTGTTTATGCCACTGAACATAAGGCCACCTGCACGGGCTTCACTGTAGTTCAGTGAATGGTGTCAAGGAAACCACACTATTGTTAATGTAAGCTGTGCTGCCAACCAAAGCTCAGGGTTTCATCTATCAGCACTGAACACCAAGGTATGCTAAAAGCATCCCACATAAGAACAACTTTCACCATGTAAGACAAGCCTGAGGCTGTTTCTGAAGGGGAACATCCAGAAGGAATCT